AGCAACAACTTGACAACTATACACAAGTAAAAATAACGCTGGAAGAACTTTGGGTCCACTTAAGAAGCCACAGCAATACAATGGGGGGAAAAAAAAGACCATACTAAAAGGGAGAACAGTTTAATTTTACCTACATCACTCCTTCCACCTAGCCAGCACTGCTCAGCATGGAGAGGGAACTCCCTGGATTACACATTCCCTTAGAAGGGAAAAGGAGAGCATGGTATACAACCAGATTCTCCAGCATTTTGAGACATTGTACAAATGACCAGATTCAGTTTTATACCCACCCAGGTCTCTGGGGGCAGAGGCCTGACACAGCCAAAGATCTGGAGACTTGGGGAACCATGAAGAGAGACAGAATCTATCAGTTTCGGTCAAGTAGCAGGTTTCACTGTGACCTGCAGTTACATGTTTGGCACAGGACTTGAGCAGAGCTTTCTGCTCAAGACCTCGACAGCTCACACAGATATCAGGTACTACAGCCCTCACACACTGTCTTTTCTGCTGAAGACTCCTCAGTGGTCATAGACTCCAATGGCTTGTTCTGCTTAAGACTACAGACAGCTTTCATGGAAATTGAAATTTTAAAATATCATTTACACCTTAAGCTGAGAAAACCACCTGCTAGCACAGCAGCAGCAGACTCCCTGCAGTGTACACTACTGAAGAACTCACAGTTTTTTGTTTTCTTTATTTTTTTTTTGGTTTTCACAGTATCTTGTTGCCTGAATAAACTTTGTTTTCTTCTCTATTCCCTGGAGCCACCAAGTGTGCCCCATTAATGCTGCTGTGTCAGCTAGAGGACCCAGTCCAGCTGCCTTCACATATTCTAGATGTATAAGCCACCACCCCTCTTCCTGAAGCCACTGCCTCCTTGGAGGTTCTGGCCCAAAGACCTAGCATAACAGTCACGTTCATGCCTATAAATAGCCCTAGAATTCCCCACTGCAGATTTTGCCCCTACTTCCATGCATCGTCAAGGTTGACCCATGCAGCTGGATATTGGTATGTTTCCAGCTCCAGTCCCCATAGATATGCATACATAAGCTAGCCATGTCCCTTAGTGCCTGCCTCCATCACCATGCTTGCATCCATAGCTGGCCCCTACAGTAGTATGCATATGGATACCCTGAGCTTAGACCTGCATCTCTCCACACATAAACAGAGAGCCTGATCCTGTCACTAGCCCAAAGATGACTCCTGCAATCATGCATGTGCAAGTTGCCAGCCCTCACTACTACTATGAGACTGCAATTGGTCCTACCCAACTGTCACGACCCAAGTCCCTGCTACCCTGAAGAAGCCCATATCTGGCCTCTGTTTTCACATACATGCCTGCAGCTGGTGCCCTCAGTAGTGCATGTGTACACTGCTGACTGGCCTCCACCACTGCTAGCCCTGATATATAGCCACTGAGTCCAAGGGAATAAATGAGGACCCCAACATCTTTCATAAACACTGTGGACATTCCATAGCTCACGCCATCAAACACCATGCAGTTGCCAACATCATGAACCTCAGCTGCCTGATTCAACAAGACACAGTCCCTCCCTGCCCAGACATGGAACTACCACATTTCCCCATACATGGTGCCACAGTGTATTCCTGACTATCTCCTCCTTACCCTCCAAAGCAGATGGTCTTTCCTTACCTAAACAAGTCCATAGAATCTGAAAGAGGTGACTGCTTATTAAACTGCACAGTCAACATTACAGGACTATATGGAGCAAGAAGAATTGGGGAAACATGACGTTACCCAAGGAACACAAAAACTTTCAATACCTAACTCCAAAGAATTTGAAATCATGAATTGCCTGACAAATAATTTAAATTAATTATTCTAAAGAAGTCCAGTGAATTAAGAGAACATGGATAAATAATTTAATGAAATCAAAAAATAGTATAAGAACTAAATGAAAAGCTGAACGAAGAGATGCAAAACATTAAAAAAGATACAAACAAAATATTTAGAGTTAAACAATGCAATTTGTTCAGCAATGACTCAAGAAAATTCAATGAAGAATTTAAACAGAAGACTAGATTCAGCAGTAGAAAGAATAAATGAACTCAAAAACCGATCATTTGAAATCATCCAGTCAGACTAGAAAGATAAAAGGATGAAAAGGAATGAAGAAAATCTACAGAATATATGAGAAACAATTAAGAGACATATGCACAATTTAGGAGTTTTAAAAAAGAGAAAAGAGAGGAAGAAAGAAAAGAAGATGAGAGAAGAGGAGAGGGAAGAAGAAAAGAGAAAACTTCTTAAAGAAATAATGTCTGAAATCATCTCAAATCTGGAGAAGGGTATGCACACACAGGTGCAGGAAGCTCAGTGATTGCCAATCAAATTCAACCTAAAGAAGAGTTCACCAAGACAGAATCCCCCTATCAAAAATCAAAGAAAAATAATCCATTTTTTTGAGAGGTTTTTGCTATAGGGTACGTGTGCTCGCCAGACAGACAGAGGGATAGAAAGCGAGAAATCACCCTCTGCGAGGATGGCCATGCAGCAAGCCTTTCTCTTCCATTCTCCTCTAGGGATGTGGGGCATGTACGCACACATGCCCGGCATGAGTTTAAACCATCAGGTCTGAGACTCGAACTGTGGTCGACTACGTGGGAGTCCAGCGACATAGCCATTACTCCAACTGCTGGTCCCAAAGAAAAATAATTCTGAAAGCAGCAAAAGAATAGAAGTCTATTACTTATAGAAGAGTGTTCTAATATGGCTATCAGCAAACTTTTCAGCAGCAAATTTACAGACCAGAAAAAAAGTGTGATAATATATTCAGTGTACAGAAAAGAAAAGCAAAAACTGTTAACCGACAATATTCTATCCTGTAAAGACGTCCTTCATAAATGAGAGAGAAATAAAGACTTCCCCAGACAGCAAAAGCTGAGGGAGTTTATCATCATTAGATCTATGTTACAGGAAATGCTAAAAGGGAGTTCTTCAAGCTTCAACAAAAGACTGCTATAATTAGTAACATGAAAACATATGAAAATATACATCTCACTGGTAAAGGTAAATATATAGTCAAATTTAGAACACTGTAATGGTAGCATGCAAATCAGTTATACCTGTAGTATAAATGTTCAAAGATACACCACTATTAAAAACAACTATACTATATTAATTTGTTAATTGATAGACAATATAAAATGGTATAAAATGTGAGTTCAAAAATAAAATGTAGAGGGACCAGAAGTTAGCGTAATGGCTATGTCGCTGGACTCCCACGTAGTCAACCGCGGTTCGTGTCCCGGACCCGATGGCTTAAAACTCACGCCGGGCGCGTGTGCGTGCGTGCCCAAGATCCTGAGAGGAGAATGGAGGAGAAGGGATTGTGGCGTGGCCATCCCCCCTGGGGGGTGATTTCTCACTTTCTGTCTCTCTGTCTCTCTCTGTCTGTCTGGCGAGCGCACGCGCCCTATAGCAAAGACATCTTCAAAAAATAAATAAATAAAATGTAGAGAGAGGGATTAAAAGTTCAAAACTTTTGGGAACCAGCAGTTAGTGTAATGGCTATGTCGCTGGACTCCCACGTAGTCAACCGCGGTTCGTGTCCCGGACCCGATGGCTTAAAACTCACGCCGGGCGCGTGTGCGTGCGTGCCCAAGATCCTGAGAGGAGAATGGAGGAGAAGGGATTGTGGCGTGGCCATCCCCCCTGGGGGGTGATTTCTCGCTTTCTGTCTCTCTGTCTCTGTCTGTCTGGCGAGCGCACGTGCCCTATAGCAAAGACATCTTCAAAAAATAAATAAATAAAATGTAGAGAGAGGGATTAAAAGTTCAAAACTTTTGATTATGACTAAAGTTGTTACTAATTTAAAATATATAAGATGTTTTATATAAGCTTCATGGTAATCAAAGAGCACAAACCCACAGAAGTTACACAAAAGTAAAGAGAATCAAAGCAAACCACTACAGAAAATCATCAAATCACAAAGGAAGCCAGCAAGGAAGAAACAAAATCTAAAAATCAACCAGAAAATATTAACAAAATGTCAATAGTAAGTCCTTATCTATCAATAATTACTTTAAATGCAATCAGTAGAGACATAGAATGTCATTATATAGTGATAAAGGAATCAGTTCATCAAGCATATATAACAATTTGTAAATGCATATTAATTTAACACAGGAGCAACTAAATACTAAATATGCACAACAAATACTGGGGCCAGCAGGTGGCATAGTAGTTAAGGTACTCAACACCCAGAGTCAGCCACAGCTGGAGTCCTGGGCCTAGCAGCTTAAAAAAATCACGCCAGTGCCAAAATATCAAGAAGAGAATGGAGGAGAAAAGAATGTGGTGTGGCCATCCCCCAGGAGGTGATTTCTCACTCTCTCTCTCTCTCTCTCTCTCTCTCTCTCTCTCTCGTATTTTTATTTCACACCTTTTATTCTTTTATTTACATTTAATCATTATACATCTTTACAGGGTACATCTTCACATTGTACAGCTTTTCAAAGCATTTTTGCAGTTCATGTCAAAGATGTTACAATATACATCATCTTCTGCAGACAACTTTCCATTACTTATCTGAGTCTCTCTCCCCTACCCCTGGTATCTACCCCCATGTATACACACTCTGGTATTATTATCTATATTTTTGGCTTTTCTGATTGAATCGACTTTTAAAAATAGCAATCATAATATATCCATCACGTGGAATGCATCTTTTCATTCATCTTAAGATCAACTTTAGATTTTTTATAAGCATTAATTTACATAGGCCATAATTACAATTTGGATATTGTTTCTTCCACTTCTTCTTAAAAGGTTTGTATTTTATTACTTTTTTTTTTACTTCTTTCTTATCTAAATTAAACACTGATGTTGAAGTAATTAGATTATAATTTAAATTTTTTATCTGAAATATATATTTAATTTTTCATTTTTTAAAATTTTTACATTTTTTCCATGTTTTATTGATTCACAAAATACCTTAAATTAAAACTATGGACAAAGCTACATATTTATAACCCCTATCCCTCACCCTCTGCCATTTCCCACCCTCCTCACACACTATCTTAGGTGTCTACAGTTGTTTTCCATTCCTTTTTTCCTCTACATTTTATTGACTCACAAAATTTTTTTAAGTAATCTAACTACTTTCAATAGCAAGTTTAGCTAGTATGTACATATCAGTGAATAAATGTCTGACTTTAGGCATGAAACTCTGAGTAGAATGAATATACTATAAGGTAGCACCTAGCTGATGCTACTATAAAGCTTACTATGGTCATTAAAGAGATATTTTTCAATATACTTTTTTAATTTCAATAGAAGCAGTTTTAGCTTTAATAAATAAAAAAAATGTTAAGGAACTTTACTTAAAACCTAAAGCCAGGAAGAAGATTAGGATTCTGTTCAAATAGTAGGTACATGAACCTACCTACCAGCAGCTCAAGACAGGACAAAAATCCTTAAAACTGGAAAACAAAGCCTAGAAGAAAATCAGCAATGTTTTAGTCAAAAGTCATAAAATGCTATTTCACCAGATCAGTCTCATGTATTTAATCTATCTTCTGTTGTGTTTCGATCTTCCCGATTAAATTCTGGGATATAATATTCAACTCCAGATGTGTCTCTACAATTAAGTTGGCCATTTTCTTAGTTTTTGAACTCTTATTTCTGTGTGTCTGTATTTAATTTTCCTGGCATAGCACTCCCTCTCTGCTTGTTTGGAAAGTGCATGCAACCTATGGCAAAGCTGAGAAAAATAAAATAAAAAAGGTAAATATTAACAAATCTGAAGGGATGGCTGAAAATACAATAACAGTAAGGAACATCAATATCTTATTTCAATTGTGGATAGGTTATCTAGACAGAAAATCAATAAAGAAACAGTGAATTTGAACTACAATGTAGACCAATAGCCCTAACCTTAATGAACATATATAGATTTCAATGTACAGTAATACAATACAATTGTTTTCAAACAAATGTGGAACAATCTTATCAATTTCAAGAAGACTAAAATCCCATCAAGTATTTTTGGCAACCACAATGATATGAAACTAAATTTAATAACAGGAGGAAAAATAGAAAATTCATAGCATGCATCTATATAACCGGTAACTCAAAGAAGGAATTCAAAAGAGAAATTAAAAAGCATCTTAGAACAAATGAAAATAGAAATATAGCATACCAAAGTCTTTGGGATACAGAAAAGCAATTCTAAGAGAGAATTTTACAGTGATAAATGCCTACATTACAAAACAAGAAAGATTTCAAACAAACAAACTAATGTTACAGCTCAAAGAAATACAAAAGAAGAACAAACTAAAATCAAAGTTAGCTGTAAAAAAGAAATAATAAAGATCAGAGCAGATATAAATCAAATAGAGAATAGAGAAACCAAAGAGAAAAAATAAGAAAAAACATAAGAAAAGAAATCAACAAAATGAAGACATGGTTTTTTGAAAATGAAATGTCAAGAAACACTTTAGACTAAGAAAAAGAGGGAAGATCAGGAAAATAAA